ACTTGGAAACGGTCGAGATCCTCACCCCGAAACCATATATACTCACGTATGGGACTATATAACAAATCAAATGAAATATAGGGGAGTCCCTGCAGTCACCCCACCCCTCCTGTTTGAGAACTTGGAAACAGTCGAGATCCCGACCTCTTAATTAAACCATATATATTCATGTATGGGACAGCAGAACTTATCAAATGAAATATAGGGAGAGTCCTAAGGTTCACCCTACCCCCTCCTGTTTGATAACTTGGAAACAGATGAGATCCCCACCCCTAAACCATATATACTCATGTATTTGGCAATATAACAAATCAAATGAAATATAGGGGAAGTCACTGGGGTCACCCCACCCCATCCTGTTTGAAAACTTGATAACGGTCGAGATCCCCACCCCTAAACCATATATATATTCATGTATGGGACAACATAAAAAATCAAACGAAATATAGGGTTAGTCCCTAAGGTCACCCCATACCCTCTTGTGTGTGTTTTAAGAACTTGTAAAAGTTTGAGATACCAACTCCTAAACCATATTCATTCCTGTTCGTCATTTCAAACAGATTTGAATGACATACAAGGTCAATCTCATATGCATCACATATGCATATCACTTTACTAGACCTAATCAATGTGTACTAGACTTTGCCCAATGTCAGGCGACCATGGGAATGAATAATTATGGCAGCTTTGTTTGGGAGACTTCGTAACAGCATTCTGTTACAATTATTTCTTGTTTATTATAAAATTTTATTGATGCAAAAAATGAGTAGGTTTAAAGAATTTACCTTAATTATATTTTGAATAATTTCTGGTTCTATAAAAAATTTCATTTTAATATGGCTCATTTTAAAGAAAACATATCTTTCAAGCCCAAGACCAACTTTATTATAATCACCTGTCATTTTATTCCAAACTTAGACATCATGGACTTGGGGTGAAGGCGGGGGTCATTTACATTTACTATGGGCAGGTCAGTCAGACCTCACCTTTGATCCCCGTAGTAGTAAACATTTGTCTGATTTGTGTCTCATAACTTTTGCACTGTAGAACATAAACTCAGTTTTCTTTCTAGGGAAGCAAGTCCATGCATACTATTACAAGCTCGTACTAAGTCAACTTGAACTACTAACAGTCAACTAATACCAACGTTAACTATCAACTAGAACAACTGCAATCATTTCGAACTTGTACCACTGCAGACACATGACCATTAAAAATATACTTGATATATGCGTTGCTTTTGAAAACCTTGATAAAATATGAATTATTTGCCTTAATAATAAATTCATTAAATGAACATAAATGCACAATATATGAATGTTGAATGTTTGTTCTTTTAAATCTTAAAAAAAATGAAGCAACATAGCCACAGTTTTCATAAGTATGTTTGCCTTGGTTTTTGGTTAACTGCCTACAGCGCTTACAGTGCTTTGATTTTGTCCACCACCACTGCTATGGGAGAGCAATATATGATTGAAATTATACACACAATTCTTCCAATCTTTCCGTCAGTGACTTCAGATCACTTTGATTCTTAAAACTAACGGCATTCCCATTGAAACAAATTGTTCTTGCCGACTTGCTCCTTTATTCATATGAGACAGACTTCCTACAGGAGCTTCTTGGAAAGAATGACAAAAAGCTAGCATTGGTATGCTATATAGACGATGTCCTCTCACGTCATTGTTAAACGCATCTATCCCATCTAACTTGAAATAAAGGATACATCAGATACAGTTCAGTCTGCCTCATATCTTGACTTGCATCTAGATAATGACTATGAGATTAAACTTTACGACAGAACAGATCATTTCGTTTTCCGAATTGTGAACTTTCTAACTCTATGTAGCAACATTCCAGCAGCGCCATCTTCGCTAGCCAAGGATTACGATCATGTACCCTCCTCTCCACCCATTGGCGGATTAAGATAGAATTTCGGACCCACGATGTAATGATTTCCATTGGTCGCAGTTGTAATTGGCTGCATCCAATCAAAAAGAGCCTTTAAGATGATCACATGTAAATACAGAAAATGTAAATAAACATTTGCAACACGCAGATTGTGCCACAATTCAGTGACGATCTTAATGTTCTTTATCAACTATTTGAAGTTTCTGGGTATGTTTATGGCCAAATGTTGGAATGCCAATGTTTATTTTCGGTTCCTGCTTTACGAAATTTGTAAACACTAGACACAACCGTTTTTACAACTCCCTACTGAAGAGTGTTCAAGTGCTACAATTGGTCAAGAATGATGTAGTCGGAATGGGCGTGACTATTGTCTACCGGTAGATAACGCAGCATTGTAATCACAAATGTTGGCTTAATCTGCCAAGGGTGGAGAGGAGAGGACTGGATCGTATTCCTTGGCAAGCGAAGATGCAGCAGCATAAGGCATATGGAGTATATAATACCCAGTTGATACGATAATCCAGAGCTTGCATTTCCCATCATGATTTCCTTGATAGAGGAATGCTGCTTATATTTACAAAAGGTGAAGTTGAAATCATACCTTCGAAAAATTTACGGACGTTATCGCGAATTGTCGTAGCCACAATCCTGTCCTCTTTTTCACGAAGTTGACCTACCAAACTCATATGAGCAAAACGACGGTGCAAAAAGTGGAGCAGATCTCTTTACTCTTTGGGACCATCTGAGATCCACCCCTCCGGTGTTTGAAAGGATTCGTGTTGTTCTGTCTAATTTCTAGTTTGTGCTTTGTAAACTGTTTGTCTTGGTCGTTTTTTTTTGCCATGACATTGTCAGTTCATTTTCGACTTGCGAGTTTGATAATCACCTTAGTATCTTTCGCCTCTCTTCTAATGACTAGATATTTGTTATAAAAGTCATATAAGAAAATACAGATCGATTTGGGTTTCGTTTCAGGGAAGTTATTTTTGCAGATGTTGCCCTTGGGCGCAGTTTTAATACAATGTAAAAACAACTAATATCCAGCTGGTTCTTTCATGGCACCAGCTTTCAAATAAAGAGCCTTGCAACATAAACTGTCTGTGAAGATTATTTTGTTCGTTCGAAATAATTGAGGCAATTTTGACGGGAAATCCTTTTCGGTATAAAAATTTTTGAGACCTCCCAAGTAACAAGGTTTAGAACACTTAGAGTTAGATGGTGAAATTTGAGGCGATTCGACTGGAGTGAGAAGGTTCCTGTTACAATTCTGCCTTTAATAATTGCCTTTGCAACGTCAACTCTATTTATAATCACTATGTCTCATAACGGGATGATGATCGTGTTGAGGAGTTTTTTAATATTGGCATGAGACCAATGGTTGGCAATTTTACTATTCGCTAGAGCATTTCAGTTGCATATGCACAGGGAACTAGGGTGACAATGGTTCTATGCACGGGAATCTCGGTTACAATGGTTGTATGCACTTAGCTGAAGACTGGCCTTATGAGTAACCAGGTCCAAGGAACTAGATCTATACAAAACATATGCATGAAGCCACAAGACCAAGGAGTCCCAACATTGCACATGCTTTTACTATTTGTGCACCTAAAATTCTATTTTGAAACCTCTACGACGGAAAACCACGGCATTCTTGAAAGTGAATTCCTGCTCCAAAATGACTAGTGCATTTATAGTGTTACCAGGCGCTGATCCAGCTATTTTTAAAAGGGGGTCCAACCCCCGGAACATGTCCCCCCTCCCGATGATGCCCCCCTCCCGATCCGCGAATGGTTACCCATAGTATACTTTTCGCTTCTGTTACATCGTTGCAACACCGCCTGCACCGTGTCCAGCGCCCTATAGACCACTCGACCACCTAGGCTATATAAAAATATAGCTTTTGCTGGTCGAGTTATACCTTTCCTCGTCGGCTTTATCTAGGGTTGTAACACAGTACATGGTGTATGGTGGCAAGTAGATGGTGTACCTTTCAGATAAGCTATTTAACGTCTAGATATTAATCAACGCTCTTTCTTACGAGGGCGCTGGTTCGTTATGAGAATCGATTCAGTACACAATAAATAAATCATATATACGCATGAAAAAGTGTACAAAACAGCACCAATATTAAAAAAAGGAAACAATAAATGCAAGTATCTATAAATATTTCGGATAACCGATATCGTCTAAATATATACGTGTAAATATGTGGCAATTTTCGGATACCCTGTGGTTATGCAGTCTAACACCATAATTTACACATACTTCGTCTCAAATTTAGCCCAAAAAACGTTAGATATGCAAATTTGCGTTAGCAAATTTTTGTACTTCCCTCAGCGGGATTCGAACCCCTGCATATGAGACATCGTGGCAACACCGCCTGCACTGTGTCCAGCGCCCTAGACCACACCACCCATTAGGCTATATAAAGATATAGCTTTCGTTAGTCGAGTAATTCCTTTCCTCTTCGGCATTATCCAGGGTTGTAACACGGTACATGATGTATAGTGGCAAGTTGATGGCATACCTTGCAGATCAGCTATTATTTTGTCTTTCGTAAAAAATGATAATTTTACCTACCATGCCGTCACATCATATATATATAGATTCTACCACTGGATCAAGTGTGATACGATATTTATCCACTCGAGACAGTTAAATTTTCAAATTTAAAACGCGAGGCTCGCCGAGCATTTTAAATATTTAAAATTTAACTGCCGAGAGTGGATAAATATCGTATTACACGAGATTTGGTGGTGGAATCTGTTTCTCTAATGATTTTCAAACAATACGCAGTCAAATTTATTCCTTCTTTTCGAATGATCTGCAAAAATATGTGTTCTTTCTATGTGACGTCATCAGGCATGGACGCCTTTTTCATGCCGTCACAATAGGAAATTCAGAGGAAAGCAAGAAAATTCGACGTCATAATTGGATTTTAACCAATGAAGAACTGAGATCAAACGAACCACACGTTGATTAAATTTTTTTTATACAATGGGTGCAGAAAGGAATAAATTGACGAAGAATTAGAGAAATATATATATATAAAACGCCTGAAAAGGTAAATAAACAACACCAATATTAAAAATAGTTAACAATAAAATTTAATGTAAGTTTCTATAAATATTTCGGTTCACAGATATCCTTCATCAGTATGATTATGATGATGTATAACATATTTATATCCCACAATATATACATGATGAATTTGTCGGGTTTGTCACATAATGTATTATACATTTTATATGTTGCCGGCGTATTTTCCCAGTAAACCGCATAACTGACGTGACATGTTCCAAGAGCTGATCTTTTGTCTTCAAAGACACACATAATTTACATACTACCTATAGTAAAGCCATTATCTATAAGGTGTGATTGGGTTTGAATTAATGTGTTGTCTTCTATTAAATAGTATATGACTTTGAAGAAAAAAACATCTTGATTGGCACTTGGAAGAATGTAGTGAATTATATACCACTGTTTAATAAGATTCACACATGAAAGGACGGATTTAAAAGAATACTTTTGTCAAGCAAAAGCATAAAGACTGATGACACCGACCTATCAATGGGATATGCATCAACATTTTAATATTCTATGTTATAAACAAATACAAATTTTTTTTCGTTAGCAAAGTTAATTCGTTTTCTTCTTCTATCAAAAGAAAGTGCTCTAGGTAATGTCAAACGAAGTCTTTTGTCTGAAATTAATTGTCTATGTTGTGAACCATCTGGTGATAAGACAACAACGTTTAGGGTACCACCACCTACAACATACACATTTCCTCTTCCATCAACTCCGATCCCGTATGGTTCTTTCAAAATATCATCCCTGTTGAATACCCATTTTTCAACACCATTCATATCGCAACACAATACTTTATTTTCCGAGGAGTTTGTGATGTAAATGATACCATTGTATTCATCTATATAGGACCCGTCAGTAATTTCGCAACGGATGATATCTAAAGGTTTAAGGTTTTCTTTATTCAACATTTGAATACCTTTTCCTTTGATGGCAACAAATAAGTATTCTTCGTTAGATGTTATGCCGTATGATTGGCCAGGAAGTTTAATAAATTTTGTAGATTTTCCTAAACTTATATCTACAAGAGTTATGCCATGTTTCTTTTTATCACCTGAAGTAACAGCAGCAATTGTATCACTGAGAAGTACTATATCAAAAGCACCAGACGATTTTAGTGAAATTAGAAATTTCTTCGACCCATTACTTTGAAGTAACATAATCTCATTTGTCTCCTGGCAAGTGAAGATGTATTCATCTCGCTCGGTTACACAAACACCAGAAATACTTGGAAGCATGTCCTGTATATATAAAGCGGTTACAAACTTTGGTTTTATATTTCTAATTGATAATAAATACGGTGACATCATTACTTGTGCTTGTCCGTGTTGTTTTCTACAGATTTTCACATTGCTTGACCTCGAAAGCACTGTTACCGAGCCTAGACTAGGAATATTTCGAAAATGATCACTTATCTCAGGCTGAATAAAACATTCAATAAACGTTTCCTTCAAGTTGATAGTCTGAAGGAAATCTTCATGTTGAGAAAGTTGACTTTGGACATTTTTCATTTCAAGGAAAGTTTGTAGATCTGATGCATTCTGTTTCATGGTAAAAAGAGCAGTATACATTTCACGTACGTTTACAACATTTTGACCAATTTTCTGTATTGATTCTCGGATAATTTTACTTTCTTTATTTTCAGCTTCATTCAGCTCGTCTAGCATTTGTTTTTCTAAAACATCAAGATGATCATTTACCTTTCTTCGTATCTCGTGAATTTCATCTTCAAATTTTCTTCTCTGATCTGCAATTTCTATAATGTTCTTTTCCTTTTCACTCTTTATCACCTGTAAATTTTCTTCCAACTCTTGCAGTGATTGAAGTATGTCTTGGAATCCCTCGGATCCTTTCACGTTTGAAATTACATCTTCTAAAGGGGTGACATCACAGCACCCGGTATGTTTCTTAATACATTGGTTGCAAAGTGGACAGTCGTGATTTATACAGAATGATGTATACTTGTCCATATTATTGGAACATTCACAATATTCTTTTATGTACGAATTTTTTGAATGTATTTCTTGTTGGTCGATAGAAATTGTTTTTAAATGACTGTTTGGAACTTCCTCACATGCTGAGACGTTTGATGCGAGAACTTCCTCGCATGCAGCAATGCTTGTTGCCATTTTACACAGACTGCTTTTGTTTTCTGAAAAGAATTTCAACAAAATTATATTACTTGTTTTAACACTTTGACGTTTTAAGCATAAGCTAAATAGTGCATGCGCTTGTATAGCATATATAGTTAATGGATATAAAGCTACTCAGCCCTGTATTGTGAGATATAGGTGGTGGCTCATTGTAGGTACCAGAGTCGAACGTTGTCCTCGTCAACTTTTTGTATTATTCAAACAATGAATTTAAAACAACTCTTCAATTGACACGTAAAAGGGTAAGTTGCCTTGTAAGGAACTTATCTTACGAAACCGTGACCTTTCTTGCCCCGAATCCACTGCCTTATAAATCGCATTATAAGCTCGACGTATACATAAAGAGTTATTTTCGATTATGATTTAGCCACACAAAACATTGGATAAATATAAAGCTGAAAATCAATACGCGAATCATCTTACCTGGTGATTAATATCTTTAGTTGGAACCGGTCTGATTACAGCACATTCTCAAATCAATCATGAAACTATCTAGATAGTCGTGTAATATAACCAAAACAGAATAAACATGAAATTTCAACTCTAAATATAACCTCTATACATGGATTCAAATATATATTCCATATTCACCTGTGTTACACACGAATGATTTTAAATGATATAAATAAATACGTTTTGTTGACTGGTAACCATTGCAATGATTATAGCAAAGATATTTTTTTAATCAATTGTAGACACTTAACTGATTTTTTGGAATCTAAGTAACTAAAGGGAATATGTCGGCTCTCCTACTGAGCACATGCGATATGGAATTTCCATGAACTAAAGAACCATCTAATTTCCACAGGGATGGGTAGCAATATTGAATTAGGCACAGGCAATCTAGTCTTATAACCACAAATGACGAAATATCTTTTTAAAAGTTCTTTCTTGACCTTTCTTGTTTTGTCAGTTATTTTTTTGCCGGTTGTTATAGTACTTTATTTGATCACTGTGACACATTACATACATGTAACAAAAGGAATACAATTTCTGCATATACACCAAACAACAAGTTCCTAAAGTTTTTAAACTGATTTTTGGAATCGTAATAACTAAATAGAATATGTCGGCTCTCCTATAGTGAGCATGAACTAAAACCCCATCTTATTTCCACAGGGAATACTATAGGTAGCAATATTGAATTAGGCACAGGCCATCTAGTCTTATAACCACAAATGAAGAAATATCTTTTCGTGGTTCATGGGAATACTAAGCCTAGTAAAGTTTTTTCTTGTTTTGTCAGTTTTGTTCCACGTTGTTGTTAATGTGGCCTTTCTTGTTTTGTTGTGTATAATATGATAAAAAAGATAAAAGTAGTTTGGGTTACATCGAACAGTTTAAAAGGTATAGATTTGTTAGAAAACTCTCAAAATGGAAAAAGTCTTTAAAATATATGATATTTAATATGCATGTCCAACTGAAATGTCCAGCCCAGTAATCAGCTCTGTTGTGTTGGCATAGACTATATCATTGATACGTTCATCAGTTCTGTCAATTGACTGTTTATAAAACTCAAGTTTTTCTTGCCCAATGCTTAATAACCATATTTGGCAAATTTTTCGGAATTTTCGGTTTTGAATGCTCTTCAACATCGTATTTGATTTTGGGCTTCAAACTGTTTTGATTCGAGTGCTACTGAATAGTTTTATGTAGACGAAACACCATCTGGGGTATCAAATTATAAGCCTTGTATCTTTCATGATTTTTTTTCCCACTGGGACACATTGCTACCATATGTAGCAATATTGAATAAGAGGAGGCAATCTAGTACTTTAACCATAGGCGTCCAAATATCGTTTTAAGGTTCATGAGAATACTGAGCTTTTTACATTTTTTGATTTTTCTTGTTTAGTCGGTTTAAGTTTTATCTTGTTGTTGTTGGTGTGGCCTTTCTTTTTTGGTTGTGTATAATATGATAATAATGATAGAAGTAATTTAATTTACATCTAAGACTTATGTTTTAATTTGTTAGAAAACTCCCACAATGGAAATAGTCTGTAAAATATAAGATATTTAATATTCATGTCTAACTTTAAAGTACTGCAATCTTTTATCATTAAGCATGCACATGGGTACCAGGAATGAGTTGAGACTTTTTCAGTACTTTTTAGAAATATTTGAACATTTTATTTAGGACTGTTTTTTTCGCATAGTTAGGGAAGTGTAGAAGGAGGTTGCCTTACTTCCCATACAAACTTTGAGTGGCGTTTTGTTTTCATGAAGACTTCAAGTCAAAATTAGTTACAAATTTATTAATGATTTGGGTATATCAAACCCAAAAAGGATCAAAGAGTTATTAAATTATAAGCCTAATACGATCATTTTTTTTTTAAATACAAATCAGCAAAATTGAGTACACTGAAGATAAGCTGAAGGTTTGATGATTATTTAGTGACAAATACAAATGTTAATGTTTTCGCAACCTATTGATGCCTTCTTTTTTTAGAAAAAACTTTCAAATCACCAGACCTATTTCTTCTAAACTAAAGAGTGAATTTCAACAGAACTTCCCCATAATCTTTATTACCTTAAGTACTTGTACATCTATTTTATTGATCATGAAGATTTCTGGGATTTCCCATCCATGGACTTTTTTCGATTTCATATCATAGGGGTGAGCATCCCCTATAATCAACTCCTCCTAAACCAGTGAATATATTTGATTAAAACTTTCAACGATTCTTCGTGAAACAATGTCAATGTGCACCTCTTATGATTTCTGATATTTCCTAAACAAAGATTTTGGACTTTTCAATTTCATATTATATATTAAAACTCCTCTTAAACCAGTGAATAAATTTCAATCAAACCAGAAACATATAATATATTTATGTATTATATGTCTCTAGTGAAACATTGCCAAAGTGCATTTCCATTTTCTACTTTTTAATCAGAATATTTTCTAGGGTTTAGGGAGGGGGTAATTAATTTGCAAGCTCTGCTCACAGTATGTCTAGTTTATAAGAAATATTTTGATTTTTTTTTTTAATAAATTCTAACCATTAGACTTAAACAATAGAGAATAAAACAACTTTTTCCTGCTTCTTGTACATCTTTTTAAATAGATATGAGACTGTTTTTTTTTGTATCTATAATTTGTAAGGAGAAGTTTCAGCTTCTTTGTAAGTGTAGTTAATATATAGATATAAGAAGATGTGGTATGAGTGTCAATGAGACAACTCTCCATCCAAGTCAAAATTTATAAAAGTAAACCATTATAGGTCACAGTACGGTCTTCAACACGGAGCCTTGGCTCACACCGAACAGTAAGCTATAAAGGGCCCCAAAAAAAATTACTAGTGTAAAGATCCACTGCTTATTTTTAAGAGACTTAAAAAAGGAGTTTCTGCAGTCATGGGGATCAAATGGTTGCAAATACCATATTAAAAGTTGTAAGTTTTTTCGGTAATATATTTGACAGACCGGTTTGAGACTAAATGTGAATAGGTTGCATGTATTTTTTTCCAGGGTGGTCCAAACAGATTTTATGTCAATTTTGGGCTTCAGTGATTGCAAATGACATAACATATTAAAGCATATTAAAGTCAATATAATGCATACAGACTCCTTGAAGCCTGTAGCTGATAATACTGTAAATTCAGAAATTATTGCGTGCATTTATTATTGCGATTTTGTCATTTTAGACTAAAATACGATTTTAATTTTTGCGATATTAAGAAAAATCCTGTTTAATTCATATAAAAAATTTCAAAATGCGACTTTAAATTATTGCGATTATAACCCTGTCGCATTTATCTCAATAATAAAAACATCGCAATAAATTCTAAATTTACAGTGTACCTTTCAGTTTGTAGTTAAAAATCTAAATTTTCAAACTGATAACTGGCTATCAATTTTAGACCGATACAAAAGTTCATAGTTGGTATAGAGCAGGTGTAGTGTAATCAAAATGAATCCAATTTATGATAGCTTTGGATCTTGCTTAATCGGCGTGAAGCAGATTTTGGGCCAGGACACAAGGCTACAAGAAGGGAGAATTTGCCAGGAGGGCAATAAAACCTGTCAGTCAAATATAAATACACAATGCCATGGCCAAACAAAAAAGGGACAAAAGATGGGCACTAGTCTGCAGAACACTTCAATCAACTACAGATTGAGCAAAACAAGCCGATCAAAAACAAGGGGTGAACTCATCTGCTCCATAAGGGTCATCATATCTCTTTCCACTAGTGGCACCATTGATGATACTCATTACAAGTGAAAACATTGTTGATTGATCCTGTTCTGTGATGTTATGATCATGGAAAAGAGAAAGAGGCTGTGGTTAAGACAAATAGAACATATCCTTGCTCTTCAGATATCCCATAACGATCAACCAAATTATTATGGTATCAGTAAAACTTTCAAATGGATGATTTCAACATAAACATTTGAAATCCTTTGTTCAATAGCTTCCTAATAAGTAACAATCCTCTATCAAGGAAATCATGATAGGAAACGCAAGAAAGGAATATCAAATCACTGAGAGATATATACTCCATATCCAGTTTGTACTAGTGAATAACTTTTTATACACATATCAAAATTTCTTAACAAATATTTTCATGATTTACAAATAAAAATAAATAAGTCATCTGTTTTAGCTTTTATTGATTCAAAGCCACTGGCTCTAGGAAATGACTGGAAGTGTTTAATTCAAGAGTATCTAAAGTGTTACGAGACTCCCCAAAAAAATAGAAAATATGCTATAAAATACTGAATTGAAAGTCTTTAATTCCATAAAAAAATAATAAATTACATCAGCAATGCAAAATATATTCAGTATTTTAAAACCAATTGTTACCTTTGTCAAACTCCCTGCAAAACAAATAAAATTTAAAAAATTAACAAATGAAACTGTAATTCCCTACTTATTTCAACATGTGAAGATTTGAGAAACAGAAGATTTGATTGTGATTTGATTTTTAAATTATCTTTAACAACAGAAGAGTATTTTAAGAAGTATATCTGTTTAGTGTTCATTCTTTCTTTGTCAGGCATTCATTACACTGTAAAGGAACCAACATAAATGATACTGGTATCTTCCATATTAGGCATGATATTGAGTCTCCACATTCCTGGACCAAATACCACTGAAAAAAATTCATAATAAATTTATTAGTCTTTACTTCTATGGGTAAATTTCTACACGGAATGATCAAAGCCTACATAACTAGTTTTCCTAAGCATATTGAAGTTTATATATTGCTTTTGGGGTCAGATCTTTTAACTTACAAGAGGAATAGTCCTCTTTTCATATTAGCACAGAAATATATATTGAAAAGTAAAAGGTTCACACCATAATATAAAAGCTTCTATCATATATGCTTTCCTTGCATTTCATTTCATCTCATTTCTTTCATTTCCTTTTTTTTTTCTCTCTAACTATAATGTAATTAAACTTATTTTGTACTTATTATTCTTACTATATTTCAATTGAAGCATGCTCCAAGTATTCATAATTGTTTGGAGACATAATAAAATAAATTGCTTCGCCGAGCGCAGCTGGATACAATCGCAGAGGTCCAACCCTGAACAGTTGGGGCAAAAATGGACACAATATTCCCGCTTGATACAGGTCTGAATTTGGATTGTAAT